AAAATTGTTGACCCCTGGTGACCTGTAAGAAGCTGACCCCTGCCCTTGGGTTAGACTTTATATGTTGATCCCCTTGATGTATTTTCCTGTAATAAGCCCAACCCCTGACTTTGAATAGGACTTTGTCTGTTGGCTGTCTGGGCTTATTTCAGCATAAGTACAATAATGACCTCCATTACAGATTAACTCCTCTAGTCTCATATATTTTCAAATCTGAAATAGATCACACCTGAGCCCACGGCTAGTCGTACAAGTCTCCAATATCATCACCAGATAGCAGAGCCAGCATTTTTTACATGGACAATAACTCCTCTATTTTGCAGGTATTGATCTGATCCCAAAAAGTTAATCCATAATTTTTTAAGACACATATAGATATTACTCACAATGTTAAACTTAGTAAAGATTGTTGCTATATTGGTATTGTCACCAGCTGAATCAGCCACTTGGAAGGATATTTTAATAATTACTATTACATGAAACAGATTAAATGGTTCATGATACTAACTATTTGTTAATGGCACAGAATACATTGTTATTACAATGTTGTTAATTGTCATGGAATCATACAGGAGTTTTACTTATAAACCGCAAATTACATATTTTCGAGAAATTAAAGTATTATCGTTAACTTGTATCATGGTCATGAAATTTAACTATATCATTCTTAATGAACATGTTACAGCAAACTTTTTACTCCAATCCCATCCAAAAATAAAACCCTGCTATATGGTATCAGGTGTATGCTTACATGCCAGTGTCTACATGTTAACATAATTGTCTAAATTAATCAATATAACGTAAAACTCACCTTTGTAATCACTACCCTCTGTTGACTTCTGTAGAATCGTATGATCCTCTCTATAACATAGAGCAGAGCAGGTCCAAGGGTCCACTTCCAGGCCTGATAAAAACACTTTCATTAATGCTTTTGTGTTGAATTCATTAACAAAACTAGGATAATTGTACTGATAACTGATGCAGCATAACAATAATGGCAACATAAACAGATTTCTCTATAATATGAGGTTATTAAAATTCTTACATATATATGTATCTTTAGTATAAAATACGTATGGAATTTCACAAACAGAACAAAATTTTTTCAACCAACAATACAAGAATATAGATTATCTATCAAAAACCGAAGTCAATTGTCTGCAACATGAGAAACAGCCAGAACAGTAGTTACTCAAAATTTGTGTCTGAGACACATAAACATGACATGCTGACTTACACACCTGAGTAGGACTTACACACGGACTTACACACCTGAGTAGGACTTACACACCTGAGTAGGACTTACACACCTGAGTAGGACTTGCCAACAAATTGTGTCTAAGACACCCGAGTAGGACTTACACACCTGAGTAGAACTTACACACCTGAGTAGAACTTACACATCTGAGTAGGACTTACACACCTGAGTAGGACTTACACACCTGAGTAGAACTTACACATCTGAGTAGGACTTACACACCTGTGTAGGACTTATAATAAATAAACAGGCAATGCCAACACAACAAGCAGAACTTACATTGGCTGGAAGTCCTTCAAACACAGGGTTTGGACATTCATCGATTTGATTCCATTCATTAAACCTTTGGAAACATTGCTCTGGGTTATGGACATCTGTGTTTGACTGGCGCCTTACAACACCCCTGAAACAAAGATATTTGTCAGTATAAAACAAACTGGCACCTCAAAATACCCCTGAAACAAAGATATTTGTCTTTGAAAAACCAAAGGAAACATTGCTTTAGGATTTGTCTTCATCCATAAAATATCTGATAAAATAACAACAAAGAAACCATTTCAGAAATAATTTAAGATCTGATATGAAGCCTCTATAAATATTATGAATGTTTGTACTAAACAAGAGGCCCATGGGCCTTAACGGTCATCTGACAAAAAGCAAGCCAAACCTAGAAAGTGGGTTGAGGTCATTCATTTGAACAAACTTGGTAGCCTCTCCTCCAAGCATCTTACAGGCCCAATATCAGCACTCATGGACTTTTGCTTGTTGAGAAGAAGTCGTTTGTATATTTTAACATATTTGACCCCTGTGACCTTGAAAGTGGGTCGAGGTCATTCATTTGAATAAACTTGGTAGCCTTTCCTCCCAGCATGCTACAGACCTAATATCTGTACTCATAGACTTTTGCTTATTGAGATGAAGTCCTTTGTATATTTTAACATATTTGACCCCTGTGACCTTGAAAGTGGGCCAAGGTCATTCATTTGAACAAACTTTGTAGGGCTCCATGCCAGCATGCTATGGGCCAAGTATTAGCCCCCTAGGCCTTCTGGTATTTGAGAAGAAGTTATTTAAAGATTTTAACATATTTGACCCCTGTGACCTTGAAAGTTGTTCAAGGTCATTCATTTGAACAATCTTGATAGCCCTTCATCCCAGCATGCCACAGGCACAATATCAGCAATCTGAGCCTTTTGGTTATTGAGGAGAAGTCGTTTAAAGATTTTAACATATTTGGCCCCTGTGACCTTGAACGTGGGTCAAGGTCATTAACTTGAACAAACTTAGTAGCACTTCATCCCAGCATGTCACAGGCCCAATATCTACACTCTGAGCCTTTTGGTTAATGAGAAGAAGTTGTTTAAAGATTTTAACATATTTGACCCCTGTGACCTTTAAAGTGGGTCAAGGTCATTCATTTGAACAAACTTGGTAGAGCTCCATGCCAGTATCCTCTGTGCCAAGTATTAGCCCCCTAGACCTTCTAGTATTTGAGAAGAAGTTGTTTGAATGAAAAGTTTACGCACAGCGGACGGCGCACGGCGCACGGCGGACGACGACGGACGAAGCACGATGGCTATAGGTCATCTTGACCTTTTGGGTCAGATGACCTAATAAAATAGCCCTTAGACAGAAAATATATTTGCAGGGATTCAATTTCCTTATATTTGTGGTAATTAAAAACTGCACAAAATTAAATACACAGGAAATGTTTTTACAGTAAATTAAAATTCCAGGAAGTGAATGTACATGAAATCAAATTTCTGTTTTAAAAAGTTTGCCCCAGTCCCTATCACCGACCATGATAACTGCAAAATATTACAATATATCAAAATATACAACTATAAAGAACATTTAATAGATGGATTCAATATGTCTTTCCTAGAACTGTAAATATTATACAGTTTGAATCAAATTTCAGATAGATATTATCACAAGATGAAAAAAGTGATGTGAAAAAACCTTTTCTGTGTCATTTGAAGTCCGCTCTGTCTATAGTTTAAATTCATGATGTCAAAATATAACTTGAAAGTGAGTGAAATCTTTTCATAGCAATTGTTTAATAACACAATAGGTTAATTGTTTGTGTTCATACGTAACTTCTTGAATAACATCAACAATCATGTGATCAAATATTACTCACTGGACACCATGGACAACAAGGCCGATGAAAAATATGACAAACAAATGATGAGTGAACCAGAACACTTCAAAATAGGATCGTCTGAAACAGAGAAGAAATTTTACATCATCCTACCAAAATAAATATGATTAAAGCGTATTTCTGTTCACTTCACTGCCATGTAAAGTAAATACATGTGTACAAACAAACTGCATGTTGGAAATCAGTGATATTAGTAATCAATAAAATATCTTAGGTAAAAACATACAAATTAATGTCAAGGTAAAAAAAAGAATAAATGACCTTCTAACAAAATTTACAACAGTTAGATATCAAGCCACATGTGTATTATGACATGGATTGTGTTCATCACAGTAACTGATATTTGATTTGATTTTGCTGAAAAAAAATTGCATACAAAACAAAATGTTACTATAAATAACCATTCTTTGGTCAAGTTTCTGGTTACATATACAAACCTGATTAATTCTGTAGATGATGTTACCATAACGATCAGGGCAAGAGTTATAACTATCCCACTGACACCAGCAACCACCTTTAGTGTTTCAAGTATGACATCCTGTAAGTATCAACATTATTTACAAATACAACATCCTGTAAGTATTGATGTGCCCAAGGTCAACATAACTCTCAATCAGAGAGATCCGTTCAGTACTTCTTCAGTAATAGGGATAACAACCTTTACTAGGCAAAATCCAAGCTGGCTGCCACTTGCCCCCTTTTTTTTCTTATCAGTCCAAAATCAAATAGGCACCACTAGGGACCAAGAGGAACCTATACATGAAACTTGAGAAAGATCTGTGCTGTAGTTCCCAAGAAATAGGGAAAACAAACTTTCAAAGTCAAATCTAAGATGGCCGTCTGTTGGTCATTTTGTGTTTCTGAACAGTCAAAAAATCAAGACACAACTAGAGACCATCATAGGGAAACCTATATATGAAATTTAAGAGATATCCATACAGCACTTTTCAAGGAATAGCAATAACAAAATTCATTGAAAAAATACAAGATGGTCACCGGTCAGCCATTTTGTTTTATCTGACCACTCCCAAAATCAAACGTGCAAAACTAGGGACCAAGGGGAACCTACATATGCAATTTGAGAAAGAGCCATTCTGTACTACTCCTCAAGAAATAGCGATAAATAAATTGCTTAAGGACCCACCACAGCAGGACATATGATGGTGGGCTAAAAATCCATGATGGACACCTTTCAGCCTTGTTATTTTTCTGATCAGCCCCAAAATCAAATGGGCACAACTAAAGATCAAGGGGGACCTACACAAGAAATTTGAGAAAGATCTATGCAGAAATTCTTTAGAAATAGCGATAACAAATTTTCAAAGTCAAAATCCAATATGGCCATCTGTCAGCCATTTTTTTTTTCTGATCAGCCTAAAAATTAAACGAGAACAACCAGAGACCGAGGGGAACCTACACATGAAATTTGAGAAAGATCTAGGCAGTAAATCCCAAGTAATAGTGATAACAAACTTTCAAAGTCAAAATCTAAGATGGCCACCTGTTCCCAAAATTAAATGAGCACAGTTAGGGACCAAGTGGAACATACCCATGAAATTTGAGAAAGATCCACCCAGTTTTTCTCAAGAAATAGCGATAATATTCTGTATGTATCAATGACCCCAAGGTCAACATCACTCAGAAATATTATATCCTATAAGTATCCAAGAATGAAAAACGAATATTAACGCAGAGATCTTAAGCTAAAATTCAAACAGAGACATTGACTTCAATTCTATATCACAAGTAAATATTTTAAAAAACTGTGACTGCTATTACTTTGCTATTGATTTTCTGTGACTTGTTATCCACTGTAGAGTAATGATATAATATTCCTTTTTCTATTTACAACACAAACATCTCCACACACAAAACTCCCATCTTTCAGTCCACATTTCTGGATTCACAGCTCTCAGTCTGTGATCACATGTTTACTTTTTGTTGTCCATAAAACAACTATCCCTCTGAACACAATTAGCGTTTACTTATCATAACTCATCTCAATGACCACACACCAAATTCTGTACATAAGGCAGTGTTTAATTTCAATAATCACTTTCCAAACACTTACTAGTGAACCGCAATAGAATCAAGCCACATTACCTTCTTAATAATCACTCTACCAATTCACTGCACTTCACTAGACACCCTTCCTGATTTACACTCCTGACCTACACTGACATTGCTGGCTTATAAGCCAATTAATATGAATCTACAGGACAATCTTTCAGCTTCCTTGTCTAAATGTCTCTCCCCTACTCTATAAGATGATGCTCTTTCACTGGAAAAATGCATATTTTAAATACATATACTGTAACACATTGCATCTAGCTTCCAAAAGAATCCCAGTGTGACTACAGAAATTTAAAATGTTCTAAATATGCATCTTTATTGATATGTTTAACAATTTTACAGACTTTCACTTCAGATATCACTAGAAGGCTGCTACCCTTCATGGTCCTTCTATGCATCTTATATGATATAACATATAGCATGTGTACAAGGATTGAAAGAACTAGCAAAAGTTTTCTGTAATAAAACTCCTAACTTATATCTGTCTGACTGAGTTTATATTAAAGACATACCTATTCTGTTTATAAATGAACACTCCTTTCTTGTGATCAATTCAACCAAATCAATCCTTTCATCCATAAGAAATGAGGTGACATCCAACCCTTTATTTCTTTATTTTGTCTGTCTAAAGCAGGTCCCAGCCAAACCTGAGTTTACGGTTTCGTAGATATAATGAAGGTTTCTTCTGTTACCTTATCTTGATTTGCTTTGTCACACAACTCGCATCAAATCCCTATTTATTAAAACTGAATACCCCATAAGGAGCAAGTTGGAATTGAATATATTTTCCGTTATTTTCTCCTAAACAAAACTGCCTTATACAATATACATCTTTCACTAAGACAATGTTGAATCCCCTTAGCCAACATGTGATCCAAACAACACTAGTTAAAATCCCTATAGGTATATGTCTTTCATTTCCCCTATTTACACCCTTTCATTCAAGGATAAAAAATAATTTGGACAAAAAGTTACAGAGTATATTATTCTGGTTGTTGAGAGGTGATTAATTGTGTCCATACCCCTGTATCATCCCTGATAAAGTTCAGGTAAGTGTTGTTGTTTTCAGGTCCTAGTGCATTCAGGGCTCGTAATAAGTCCCTGTCCTCATCAGAACGACTGTTGTAGGATTCAAAGTATCGTTCAACATTAAAGATGTGAGCTCCTGTATGAATAACTGAAACAAACAACACATAGATACCCTATAGAAATACATACATAGCTGTATGTCTTAAAGCATGGGGATAGACTACAACACACGGACAGCATGCAACAAATAGACAGCCTACAACATGTGGACAGGCTACAACAGATAGACAGCCTACAACATGTGGACAGGCTACAACAGAAAGACAGCCTTCAACAGATAGACAGCCTACAACATATGGACAGCATGCAACAAATAGACAGCCTACAACATATGGACAGGCTGCAACACGTTGACACGCTACAACAGATAGACAGCCTACAACAGATAGACAGCCTACAACATATGGACGGGCTGCAACACGTTGACACGCTACAACAGATAGAGAGCTTACAACAGATAGACAGCCTACAACATATGGACAGCATGCAACAGATAGACAGCCTACAACATATGGACAGCATGCAACAGATAGACAGCCTACAACAAATAGACAGCCTACAGCATATGGACAGCATGCAACAGATAGACAGCCTACAACATATGGACAGCATGCAACAGATAGACAGCCTACAACATATAGACAGGCTGCAACACGTTGACACGCTACAACAGATAGACAGCCTACAACATATGGACAGGCTGCAACACGTTGACACGCTACAACAGATAGACAGCCTACAACAGATAGACAGCCTACAACATATGGACAGGCTGCAACACGTTGACACGCTACAACAGATAGAGAGCTTACAACAGATAGACAGCCTACAACATATGGACAGCATGCAACAGATAGACAGCCTACAACATATGGACAGCATGCAACAGATAGACAGCCTACAACAAATAGACAGCCTACAACATATGGACAGCATGCAACAGATAGACAGCCTACAACATATGGACAGCATGCAACAGATAGACAGCCTACAACATATAGACAGGCTGCAACACGTTGACACGCTACAACAGATAGACAGCCTACAACATATGGACAGGCTGCAACACGTTGACACGCTACAACAGATAGAGAGCTTACAACAGATAGACAGCCTACAACATATGGACAGCATGCAACAGATAGACAGCCTACAACAAATAGACAGCCTACAACATATGGACAGGCTTCAACACGTTGACACGCTACAACACATGAACAGCAAACAACTAATGGACAGGACACAACACATAGTCTACAACATGAGGATAGTCTACAACACATGGACAGTTTACAACATAAGGACAACCTACAACATATGGACAGGCTTCAACACGTTGACACACTACAACACATGAACAGCAAACAACTAATAGACAGGACACAACACATAGTCTACAACATGAGGATAGTCTACAACACATGGACAGTTTACAACATAAGGACAACCTACAACATATGGACAGGTTACAACACATGGACAGTTTACAACACATGGACAGTTTACAACATAAGGACAACCTACAACACATGGACAGTTTACAACATATGGACAGAGCCTACTACATATTGATAGGTAACAGTTACGCAAGGTTTGGAAAGCTTAATGGTTTTATTACACACACAATATAAGGTGTCATCATTACACAACTAGAATTAAGCCTAACTGCTGTAATGCCTCCTTCCTGTGCATTACAACCAGATTTATTATTTTCAACTATTGCACAATATAAAAGCTGTCTGCATGACTAATTCACATTACCTATCTAGCTCCAAACTGTTGTGTTTATGATAAACATCAGCTCCTTTATGTAAAATTATTTAATATTGGGTCAAGGTATTCTGTTATGAGTCAGAGGTGAGGCAGTATTAAATAGCCTGTCTTAAATTTATTTCCATAGATGGAATTTTTAAACACATAGTAATAAATAGGTTGAATTTTCAAGTTAAATGGTAAAAAGGTTACCTGTGTATGATTAAGGAAAGAATATGCATGCACTGTACATCACCATGTGTGGTATGAGAAAAAATGATTGTGGGCATCCCTTCCAGATCAAGGATGAGTTCTCTGTTGACATGGCAGAAAGAATATCGTCTGATGCTTTCCATAACATGTTCAAAGGGGACAACTAAATGTGTTCCCCATGCAGAATTAGGTGTTTTAAATGTCTTCCATGTCTTCTACTAAATAACAGAACATTACAGGTACCAAAAGTGATCTGCTACATGACTCTATTGCAACATTTGGAATCTTGATCTTTCTTTCCATTGTTCTCTTTTTCCGTGTTTTATTTTCCACCTTAGGTGTCCTGTTAACACCCATCTTTATGTGACCCTGGCTATTGTGAAAACATTTAACCCCATTCAAACAAGAGGCCCAGGGGGCCTGCATCACTCACCAGGCTAATTCAGTTTTTCAGCCATTTAATAAAGAATTTCAAACAAGACAAACAATTTCTGATGTAATTTCCCTAATTGCTCCCAGTCTTGTGGTCAAACAGAGGTCAGATTCACTATTCATAACAAAGAAATTGATAGATTTTCTCTATTTAGCCCTGCCCATCTAGCCCCAAGGAGCTGAGACCCATGGTTTATGCAAAACTGATTTCATTTCATGCAAGCATGACTCAGCTCAAATCTGGAAAATATCCCACAATTCCTGCCACACCCAACTTTCACACAAAATTAGTTCCCCTTCCACAAGAATGCTTTAGACCAAATTTGATCAAAATCCATTCAGTCGTTCATTAATAGTTGCAATATATAGTAAATGTTGACATACGATGACAACAAACGACCGACAACTAACAACCCACAATGAATGATGGACAGATGATGGACATATGCACAGTAACTTTACAATAAATAATAAAAAGTATACATAAGTAGTCCTAATTATATATACCAGCAAAGCGATTTACACAAAATGCTATGCAGACTCTAGGATATGAAATACTTTTCTATATACAACCATATTTTCATCTCAAATGTTTTCAAATATTTTAATTCACATAAATTGAAATAGTAATCCAATCAAACAGTCTAAAAATACATATATTTATGATGAAATGCCATTATTATTTTTTAGCTATAACTACATGGGAATAATTCATAAAGGATCATGACTAACACTACCAGTTGTCTTTGTAACCATAAGAGTATTTCTTGTACTCATCAAAATGGCTTCCATCCAACAAATATGAGACTGTTTGTACTGAATCATTTTTTTCCTTAATTTTATTTATTTCAGTTTACCAACGTAAATCAAATAAAAAACCTACATAATTACAATAAGTCACTAATATCAATACAAACATTGAGCTACATTGCTTTATATATATGATAAAGATAAACATGAGAGTGAGACTGTTAAATGCCTAACAATCCAAATTTACTTTCCCCAACAATTTCAACAGTAACAGAAACTGATGAGAGCTCCCCAAAAATAACTTTAATGGACAAAACTTTTAAGAAAGGGGTAATTAAGGGGTAACAGGTCCTGAATTTGGTATACTGAACCTTTCCTGAGTATGATTAATGTATACACCAAGTTTCATGATCCTAGATTTCATGCAAGCAAATCTATGATCATGAAACAAAGTTTTAACAATGGGCAATAACTCTGTACTAAGAGGTCATGGGCCTTGACATTGCTACACAGTACCTTGCCTCTGTATGACTGATGTATAAATCACATTTCAATATTCTAACACAAAATCTTGACAAACGGTAGTAACTCTGTAATTTAGGGGTCAAAGGCCCTTAATTTGGTACACATTACATCGCCTTAGTATGTCCAATACAAACACCAAGTTTCATGATACTTGCTTATCTATGTGCAAAGTTATGCTCCAGACACAAAAGGAGGGACCGAAAGATATGGTGGTGATTATATGCTCCTCCAAAAATATTCCTGTGGAGCATACCTCTTTAAAAAAGATGTGAAATGATGAATAATGGTAATACAGTTTGTTGGGTTGTTGTAATATCTTAATTATCTTCTAGCCATCAGTAAATGAAACCAGACTCTGATTTTCATGGCTGACCATGTAGGAAAAGGTATAAGGAACTGTTGTTGGTCACGATATTGTGATACATGGCTCAGTCAATACCGAAATTATTCTGGAATGTCACACACCTGTGCGGCTATCAAGTCAGTTAGCCAGGCTAATCCTACATATGCTTAAATCAGTTAGTTCACCTCAATGATTTATCACCTCACTAAATATTTTCTCTGAAGTCATAAAAACATAACATCAAAGTAAAGGGTTTGGTGGAATAGGAGAAAATAATCATTTATAAACAAAAAAACAGATTTTTATACAATGTATTTGTGACTAGGTGTGTCATTGTAACTTTATATCTAGTAATCACTTTTTACCTGGATGTAAGAGGTATCATATTAAATCTACTCTCCAGCTCTGTGTGTAGAAGGAAATTGGAGGTGTCAATGTCTTTTTGGCTGTGGGAACTCATTAGAACATTACCCTCCAAACAAATTTTGATAAAATCTACAACCCTAACTTCCTGTTGAATAAAATTAAAAATGAAGTCTGCAGAATCATAGCTCTAGCTTTCCCTTCCTCAAAACACTAAAACAACAAAGTGTGCAAAATCGTTTACACCCCCCTTCCAATCCCCCCACCCCCTCATCCAACAAAAAGACCACTGTGAGAGAGAAATAGTAAAATCAGTTTGAACATTGAAGCTAGCTTACAAATCTTAGTGTTTTGCATATATTTCACTAATTTTTTCACTGATTCCAATTTTCTATATTTGATTCAAATCATTGTCAAGAAATTTTAGAAAGTATATAACAACAGCTGAAGAAGAGCTCTGTGCTACAGATTAATTTATGCCTGTCCATTGCCAAAAAGAAATACATTATTGTATCGTAATGTATGCAAATGTGGGCATGAAAGAATACTTGCCACTGAGAAAGCACAAGATCATGTCCTTATAATAATGTGTACCACATATTGAATGAAACTGACTGAAAACTGAGAGATAGGATCTACATCTATGACCAAAACGAACACAGGACAATAATTCTCCCAAAATTTGTTGAGTCAAAATAACATGCTAAGGGTACATTGTTCTGAAAATAGCATACCAAGGTTGTTTGAAAACTGCAAAAAAAGGAATCTCTGGGCAAGACTAGATGATGAAAAAAAGTGCAACAACTCTTCCAAAAATTGTTGAATTAAATTGCTGCTCAAGAAAACACAATAACATTTCATGCATGGTTACAATGCCTACTAAGTTTGTAAGAGATACCCGGTAAGTTGAAAACAGCAAATTAAAGGTTTACAATAGAAAGATGAACAACAATGTCCCGTCAACATTTTTGACAGGTGAAAAAAACAGTGGATCTAGATATCATTGAAACAAATCTTTTCAGATATGCAAATGAATGTAACAGCATGGTAACATATATATTTTACTGTTAGGATCATGTGGACTATTCACTGGCCTAAGGTGATGATCACTTCATGGTTACATGTAGTAACTGTTATTTACCTGTCTGTACGACAATCATATAGGCTATATATCGATGGAAAGTGATATGTTTATCAAGCTGGCGTCTGATGTTTGTGTTACAGCAAACCTGTAGAAATAAACAGTAGAGTTTTAACATGTCATAACTAGTAAGTCACACATTAGGTTTATAAACTACATGTTACATCTATTTTCTGAAAGGATGTCAACAAAAGGGGTTAACTCCCTACAAAACCTCATTAATGCATGGACGACCAACCTCCTTGACTCCAAATTATTTCTATCTGTCAAATATGCTATAGGAGTAATAGTAATAACACAGGTTTTAGAAGAAATAATGTTACCATACCAACTAACTTTATCGAGCCATCAACAACTGATTCTTCGGAGAACCTTGACTGGGTCAGTCACTAAAGCATGAAACCATTCTGTTTGTGCATGTAGTAAGTTGGTACTATATTTTTCTTTTGAGCCTTATACATTTTACGTCAGGCCATTTTCTTAAACACATACATACCTCCATAATATCCCCCACCCCAACCCTCACCTGATAAATTTGCACTGGTAAAAGGAGGACAATTCTGTCTGATACAATAAGCCCATATCTATCTATTGCAGTTTAGTAGAAATGCTGACATTGTTCTGTAATAAGAATGTGTTCCTCTACTCTGAATCAGAGCTAATAGCCCTCCTTCCCCACCCCGTCTCCCTGCCTCCCTGGGACAATTAGAGGATAGTTAAGCAATGAGTACATATAAGGTAACAGACATTTGCATATAAACACAACAGTCACATTTCTATAGAAACTGTATTGGCCACGTGTACTACTGGTAGTTGGATGAAAGTTTACTTTTGATAACTACAAAAAATTAAGAAAAGCCTAACCTGAAACCAAGCTATACAATTACCACTACCTAACCCACATTCCGTCACTGAACCTGCAAGTCACTGGAGCAGAGAGTTTGTAGATGGAAATATTTATGACTATAGGTGTAATTATCATGATTATGGGTAATAAGGCACACAATAAAGGTAGTGGAGGATATATACAGGCTTACCACTCTCATAACAAGGTCATCAATTTTCTGATCTGAACATTAATAGTTGGCTTCAATCTTTAAAGGAAAGTGAGAGGCCAATTGGGCCTGTATCACTTATTTGAACTACTGATAACAAGATAAAAATTTCTGTCAACTGCAGACCGAAGTTTTTTAAGGGAAAAAGATTAAAAAAATCTTGGCAGAGACCACAAAAACAATAGTTTAAAATGTGTTGTTGTTAACATTGATCTGATGGAAATCTAGAGTAGAGAATGACTTGCCAATGTTAGAATTAAGATCAGCCAAAACATAAAGTTCAAAACCTGTTTCTGCAAATATGGGAAATAGTCTCTTGTCATTGAAATATTGATCTTCATACTCACCCTGAAGGAGCTCCTAAGGAAAGAGATGAAGTTTCTACAAACAGGCAACAGGATAAGCATACAGTTGAGGTTGAGGGACGCAGCACTGGCTCGGGCCCAAGCCAGGGCAGGCTGAGAATACAATGATACAAGGCAATATTACATAAATGTTCACAAGTAATTACTGTATTCAACCTTATACAATGTAAATACACAATGCACAATGTACAAAGGGTGTGCTTAGTAAAACTTTTATAAAATCTCTTTGGGTGTGAAACTTCGGTAGCAAAGGACAGAACTATGTTGCATAAAATTGTGAAATTCAGTAGTATCACTTATTACTAGACAGAAGGAAAAGAATCAAAGCACTGAATTTTGTATTGAATCATAGATACTAAGATAACACCAACATTGTGCTTTTAAAGAAAGTTCATTAAAAGTTCCTGATGAAACCCAAAAGTTCCGGCAAAACCCGTCAACCAATAAATAAATAAGAAGAATCATACATCCCAAGCTTGTTGCGATTGCTCTTTATATCTTAGCTGTATTGTATCAGTGACACAGGAAACCTTCCTGGTCTTTATATAAGAGCAGCTTTTCCCTTTCTAAGACCGTATGGTGCATTTGGGATAAGTGTGAGAGGTGCACTTGTTAGTCTTACAGTTACATATAACTTAACACAATGTGAATGAGATTCTTAATGTGTCAGTTGAGTGTGTAAAACAGATATTTTATGCCATCAACCTTTAAGGAATCTGATAAAAAGTAAATCTGTCTCATAAGCATGACCAGACCAGCACAGAAATATGGTATTACACAGAAATTCTGAGAATTATAAAAGGGAAAACACTAATTCATAGATAAGGACTGTGGTGATCTAAAGGGGCACTAGCTATTAAGTAGTGCCTCTATAGCCAAGGCTAGGATCAATACAATACAAAACATCATGTAGTGATGGGGTTAAACAGGAGGGAGGTGATGGGGATGGGAGGGGCAAAATGACACATCAGAAATACATGTGTGAAATTAGAAATCAGTGTTATATACTACCAGGAATAAGGAAGTGAAATCATGTTAAGGGTTCCTGTTTGCATATCTGGGGTTGTAACATTGTACTTCCGGCGGTAGGAATTATCATTAGGACAGGTATATAAATGTATTGATGAAATAAGTTTGTAATTTCACAGAAGGCAACAGAGACAGACCACCTACTGTTCAACAGAATGAGAAGAAATGTGAACGACCTCTTGACCTGTGTGTATATATATTTATGTATTGCTTTCAATTTAACTCCAACGTGGTAATGCTTACCCCCAGTATTCTCCTAGTGTAGAAGTACTCTATGGATTTATCAAATCTCAAATATGCTTCCACAAATATCCCAATGTTTGCACCGATCCATAATGCCTGAAATGATAAAGACAAACTTATTATGCTGTATAATGTATTCATACATCTATTTGAAGTGTTATAGATAACATTTGTCAGTCAGTATCACAAACAAGATTTCCACGGATGTGTTGCCTACCCAGCAAGGTTTCTGAAGATGAGTTTTATGAAACAATGTAGCCATAGATACTCATTGTATTTATCCCATTTATGTATATGGCCATTTGTTTGAGATGTGATGAATAAACTTGCAGATTAGATGTACAGTGTCAAAGGGAACTGAATTCTGAAAGTATGTTCCTTATTAATACAACATAACGTTTTCATTTTACTTCTGATTTTTTAAAGATAGTTTGAGATATGAAAATGCTAATTTCCATTTACAGTGTATATGTATCAATATTTGTAATGTGAAGATGAGCTTTGACCTTTGGACCTGAAAAGCATTACCAAGCAAACACTTTTGGTAAGGAAGCATTGAATGAAGTCTGAGCTTGGTCTGTCAAAGTGAACGCAAGTTATTGCAAAACAAGAGATCCCAGAGGGATCTTGGCGCCCACCATTTGAGGATCTGTTTTCAGATTTGTTTATTTTTTTTTGTGTTACAGGTTTTGTAAATGTTCATGAACTGGTCTTCATTGAATGTACTCAATGATGGCACAAGATATTTTTATTCAGCACCTTTTAGCAAATATCATTTGAAAAAGATCCCAAAGTAATATTTGATAGCAGTCAGTTACAGGTGGATAATGGACATGGTCTTGAATCAATTTGATAGAATATCGAAGAAAATATGCTTGTGCTGTATTACTGTCGACATCCAAGATGGCTGCCTGTGGGCCAACTTGATTTCAAATCAGTCCAATAAAAGTACAATGCACAACTAGGGAACAAGGGAAACCAATACCTATGAAATATCAGAAATATCCATCCAGTACTTCCTCAGAAATAGCGGTAACAAGATTTTACTCTCAAAATCCAAGATGGCCGCCTGTCAGCCATCTTGAATTTGAATCAGTCCAAAAAAGGTACCATGCACAACTAGGGACCAAGAGGAACCTGCATATGAAATTTGAGAAAGATCCATCCATTACTTTTCCAGAAATAGCGGTAACAAGAATTGTTGACGGATGGACGAACGGACCACGGAGGCAGGGCGATTTGAATACCCCACCATCTGATGATGGTGGGCTAAAAAGAGGCCTAGGGAATATCTTGCAATTCAAGGTCATAAAAGTCATGTTCCACATTCCCTTAGTAAAGATGTTTCCCTGTCTGAGCACTGTCCCACAACCCCTACAGTGGATAGTTCCCTATTTCATTCCTCTGCCACAATACCTACAGAGGATACGTCCCTATCTGAGCACTGTCACACATCTCCTACAGAGGATACATCCCTATCTGAGCACTGTCACACATCTCCTACAGAGGATACATCCCTATTTGGGCACTGTCACACTTCTCCTACAGAGGATACATCCCTATCTGAGCACTGTCACACATCTCCTACAGAGGATACATCCCTATCTGAGCACTGTCATACATCTCCTACAGAGGATACATCCCTATCTGAGCACTGTCACACATCTCCTACAGAGGATACATCCCTATCTGAGCACTGTCACACATCTCCTACAGAGGATACATCCCTATCTGAGCACTGTCACACATCTCCTACAGAGGATACATCCCTCTACAGAGGATACATCCCTATCTGAGCACTGTCACACATCTCCTACAGAGGATACATCCCTATCTGAGCACTGTCACACATCTCCTACAGAGGATACATCCCTATCTGAGCACTGTCACACATCTCCTACAGAGGATACATCCCTATCTGAGCACTGTCACACATCTCCTACAGAGGATACATCCCTCTACAGACTGTCACACATCTCCTATCTGAGCACTGTCACACATCTCCTACAGAGGATACATCCCTATCTGAGCACTGTCACACATCTCCTACAGAGGATACATCCCTATCTGAGCACTGTCACACATCTCCTACAGAGGATACATCCCTATCTGAGCACTGTCCCACATCTCCTACAGAGGATACATCCCTATCTGAGCACTGTCACACATCTCCTACAGAGGATACATCCCTATCTGAGCACTGTCCCACATCTCCTACAGAGGATACATCCCTATCTGAGCACTGTCACACATCTCCTACAGAGGATACATCCCTATCTGAGCACTGTCACACATCTCCTACAGAGGATACATCCCTATCTGAGCACTGTCACACATCTCCTACAGAGGATACATCCCTATCTGAGCACTGTCACACATCTCCTACAGAGGATACGTCCCTATCTGAGCACTGTCACACATCTCCTACAGAGGATACATCCCTATCTGAGCACTGTCACACATCTCCTACAGAGGATACATCCCTATCTGAGCACTGTCCCACATCTCCTACAGAGGATACATCCCTATCTGAGCACTGTCACACATCTCCTACAGAGGATACATCCCTATTTGAGCTCTGCAGTGCAGTGATCTATACAATGGTCTATCAGTCTTGTTTTGTAGACTGGTAAAATGATTGGGTATACTGATTTTCTTATTAAATACAAAGATTGACAATTTCAACAATAATTAACTGGTACAAATGTACTTTACTTAATCATTTTAAAGGAAACACTCTGGAAGGCGAATGCACCTAAACCAGGCTTCTGAAGGAAAATGTGTCAAGCAAATTGAAAATTATGAAGCAGCATCTTAATTGGTTTATAGACTTTTAAATGAAGTGGAAATGTTCATAAAGTAGGATATAGAAATAGCTAGACTGCGAAATTATTCAAACATTCAATCCTTAAAACTCTTTTACCATGTACACATATACCAATATTTCTTTGAATTCTTTATCATATCAGCATTAATTGCGACATATAATACATATAGCTAAATATTAAGCCATCTTGATCAGGTATTCATGACAACTAGTGTGGTTAAGTACCAGGAGAATCATCATTATCCGGTATCTATGACAACTAGTGAAGTTAAGTACCTTGTGTTTATCAGGTATCCATGACAACTATTGAGGTTAAGTACCAGGAGAGTCATCATTATCAGATATCTATGACAACTAGTGTGGTTAAGTACCTTGTGAGTCATCTTTATCAGATATCCATGGCAATGAGTGTGGTTATGTAAGCCATAACTATCAGGTATTTAGTATAGAAAGTAAGACATACTTATCAGGTCAATAGTAATTAGAGCAGTTAGAGTAGAGAAGACATCTTTATCTGGTGGCCATGGTAATTAGAACAGTAAGTGTAGAGAAGACATCTTTATCTGGTGGCCATGGTAATTAGAACAGTAACTGTAGAGAAGACATCTTTATCTGGTGGCCATGGTAATTAGAACAGTTAGTGTAGAGAAGACATCTTTATCTGGTGGCCATGGTAATTAGAACAGTTAGTGTAGAGAAGACATCTTTATCTGGTGGCCATGGTAATTAGAACAGTAAGTGTAGAGAAGACATCTTTATCTGGTGGCCATGGTAATTAGAACAGTAACTGTAGAGAAGACATCTTTATCTGGTGGCCATGGTAATTAGAACAGTTAGTGTAGAGAAGACATCTTTATCTGGTGGCCATGGTAATTAGAACAGTTAGTGTAGAGAAGACATCTTTATCTGGTGGCCATGGTAATTAGAACAGTAAGTGTAGAGAAGACATCTTTATCTGGTGGCCATGGTAATTAGAACAGTTAGTGTAGAGAAGACATCTTTATCTGGTGGCCATGGTAATTAGAACAGTAACTGTAGAGAAGACATCTTTATCTGGTGGCCATGGTAATTAGAACAGTAAGTGTAGAGAAGACATCTTTATCTGGTGGCCATGGTAATTAGAACAGTTAGTGTAGAGAAGACATCTTTATCTGGTGGCCATGGTAATTAGAACAGTTAGTGTAGAGAAGACATCTTTATCTGGTGGCCATGGTAATTAGAACAGTAACTGTAGAGAAGACATCTTTATCTGGTGGCCATGGTAATTAGAACAGTAAGTGTAGAGAAGACATCTTTATCTGGTGGCCATGGTAATTAGAACAGTTAGTGTAGAGAAGACATCTTTATCTGGTGGCCATGGTAATTAGAGCAGTAACTGTAGAGAAGACATCTTTATCTGGTGGCCATGGTAATTAGAACAGTAAGTGTAGAGAAGACATCTTTATCTGGTGGCCATGGTAATTAGAACAGTAACTGTAGAGAAGACATCTTTATCTGGTGGCCATGGTAATTAGAACAGTTAGTGTAGAGAAGACATCTTTATCTGGTGGCCATGGTAATTAGAACAGTTAGTGTAGAGAAGACATCTTTATCTGGTGGCCATGGTAATTAGAACAGTTAGTGTAGAGAAGACATCTTTATCTGGTGGCCATGGTAATTAGAACAGTAACTGTAGAGAAGACATCTTTATCTGGTGGCCATGGTAATTAGAACAGTTAGTGTAGAGAAGACATCTTTATCTGGTGGCCATGGTAACTAGACCAATGTCGAGGAAGGGCCCCGCATAATACCTACCCCTTATGATTGAGTTTCTTAATATTAAGAAATATTGAAAAATGGTAATAGCAGTATGTAAATAATTGAAAATTGTATGAATTTCATGGCAAGAATTGAAAACAAAAACTGCAGGTACATATGTGAAGACATAGCAATTTTGGTTGTTTTAATGAGTGTTAGGTCAAATATATACATTTGTAATAGACAATGGTGAAAAATGGTTTGAAATGTGATTTTTGAGAATATCTGAATCATATAATGTTCCTGAATATGCTTTATACAAGCATATCAAAGTTATTGTAATTATTACCTAGTACATGAAATCTACAAATATTTGCTTGTGGTCACTGTAGTATGTCCACAACTGTGTCACTTGTGCATGCTGAAGGTCTCTTGTCCAGACATGATCAATATGGGAACCACTCTGTTGAGTTGGAGCAGTTGTAATTTGAGAGAAACCTGCTTTACGTAGAAAGTTAAACGTTGTGTTGGCGGATTTTCTCAGATCTACGTTGAAGTCCCCTCCTATGACAGAGGAAGATTGAGTCTTGTGCAAAAAGCAGTTGATGACAGCCTGGACTTCTAAGACTGTTGTCTTTGGGGGGCAATATAGAAGCAACACTGAACAACTAAATGCGCTGTTTCGTTTTGTCAATGTAACTGCTACAGCATCAATGGTAGGAGTATGGTCCATGTGAATCCTCTCCAAGTGAAAGTTTGTTGTTGCACATACAGCTGATCCACCACCATATCCAACCATTCTTCCAGTAGAGAGGACATTTGGGAATCCCATAATGTTTAGATGGTCATGTTCCTGCCAGGTTTCTGTTAATGCCAAAACATCTGATGTATTGATAAAAGGATCGTGCTGTACATCTTTTCTATGTGCTACTCCAAGATTGTTAGTGTTAAAGAAGCATATCCTTACTATTTCTGTTTGTGTAGTAGACAGTTTATCAGAAGCAAAGACTGCCATTTTGTTTCTCAGTCTTGCCATTTCTTCAGTAACAGCATCATCTGTCTTAATAGCATCTGCATTAAAGTCCACAAGAAAGAGACCTTGTAGTGAAGTTATACGGCTGAAAGCAACATATGCTTGACCTTTGGTACGAAGCTTCCTAAATGATATAACAACCTTATCCAGAGTTTGTCCTTGGACCTTATGAATCGTACAGGCCCAACACAGAACAACAGGAAACTGTATGCGAGTGATTTCTGGAGATGATTCAGATCTTCCTGCGTGATCATTCCTTCAGAAGATATTCTCGGTAAAACATTCAGCCAATCAGATTGCAGCAGCCTCATTAAATATGCGCGTAATTCGGCAAACATCGAACTTGAGCGAGGGACTTATGTACCAAGTATCATAAGCAAGTTTCATCGAAATCCCATCATTCCTTCTCAAGATATCGCGTGGAAAGCGAAACCGACAGACATGTAAAACATTCAGCCAATCAGATTGCAGCAGCCTCATTAAATATGCGCGGAATTTGGCGAACATCGAACTTGAGCGAGGGACTTATGTACCAAGTATCATAAGCAAGTTTCATCGAAATCTCATCATTCCTTCTCAAGATATCGTGCGGAAAGCGAAACGGACAGACAGACGGACAAGGTGATTACTATAGGGCACCCGCATCGCGATGCGGGGCCCTAATTAGAACAGTTAGTGTAGAGAAGACATCTTTATCTGGTGGCCATGGTAATTAGAACAGTAAGTGTAGAGAAGACATCTTTATCTGGTGGCCATGGTAATTAGAACAGTTAGTGTAGAGAAGACATCTTTATCTGGCATCCATGATGGTAATTCAAACAGTTAAGCTCAATATCATAATTAACAGAATCTTACTCTTGTTTCTTTGATAATTAGGATGATATTTAACTAAAAATAGCAAATAAAAAACAGTATCATGAGGATTCAGGGATGAGAAGATGTTTATGTATTATGTAGGCAATTGTATGGGAGAACCCTTAAGTCATCTATTTGTCAGTGAGAGGAAGTGACTACTTCACTTCAACACCAATCAGCTTAACTACAAGTTTACATAGGTACTTTATAGTAACAACTCATGTAGGAAGATATCATGTATTAGACGATAACTAGTCACATTGCTAAAACATTATGTAACATTCTCAATATCTAAATATATAAATCAGTTATAATTTCCCAGTGGATTCACTATATTCATATATATATACATTAAATATGTTTTAATATATATATATATATATATATATATATATATATATATATATATTACAAATCTATATCTATAAACTGAATATGTATTCTTTGTATCGACTGACTTTTATTTAATCAATTTTCAGATGAGCATGCTTAATTAAATGTATGTTATTTTCATGACCTTACATTTGTATGTGTCCTACAAACTGACTTACACTTAAACCTTTGATTCATACCGGCTATTGGTAGCATAATGTATGGTAAAGGTACTAAATAATGTTTCTAAGAATAATTAAAGGGTAAATTACATGCAACATCAACCAAGCTGGGGGACTGTGGAGTTTATTACAGGACATTCTTCTAGAGGCTTCAATCACACTGACCTAAGATTATAGAGCTTAGTCATGGTGTAACATATTGTGAGTCTTTGCTATTGATCTAAATGTAGTGTATATAATATCTTCACTCTCAAGGTAAACAGATATTTATCTGAACGTTTGATAAAAGTCAAATGAGTCAATACAACTGAACTAGCTATTTTTAGGGTCATACCTGCACAATACTGAATGATATATACAAACATTTAGTCCCTACATCATAATATAGGACATTCTGCTGAAAATTTCTTAACATTTTCTAGAGCAGTCATAATCTCTGATGGCCCAATTCCAATTATAATTGAGTTTTTATATGGATTTTCTGACAAGAACTATTAATTCAATGATGAATTACCACGAGTGCATGGTGCAAGCAGTTACAAAATTTGACTCCTAATCACCATCTATGAATATATTGTTTTAAAGAATCAGCTTTACTAAATATGCTCAAAGTCAGTGAATGAATAATATTATTTACTATTGTAACCCTTGTAAATACCAGCCACAATATATCCCTCAGCTAAACAGACCTTCTCTTTAGCTTGGTCTGTTGAGTGTATATAAGACTAGCCAGTGGTCCTAGTTTTGAATCCTAGTGGTGGCATTGAACTTAATAATTACCTCGGTTATATTAGCACCTAGGTAGGGGCTCAGAATAATTCTTAGACATGTCCCGTAAGTATTGCTGAAACTCCTGGAAACTCAAGGACCAGTTCTGCACTGAAGGAGGAATATATATGCAACCCTAGCTGGTAAATACTAGCATCAATATACTATTCAGCTAGGGAGAACTTCTCTTCAGCTTGATCGGTTTAGTATAAGACTAGCTTGTAATGGCTCTGCTAGTGATCCAGTGGTCCCCGGTTCAAATCCTAATGGAGGCATGGAAATGATAAATGATCCAGCCCCTGTTTCACTATAATCAATCTTTTCACCTCCCCTAGTGCCTGATCAACTCATACATCTGATTTCATCATCTTACAGGGCTCCCACACCCTATTTTGGGACTGGGGCCTGGGGCCCTTAGAATTGGGAAAAATAATGTTGTTTTCCTTAGAATTGGGAAAACTTGGGGTCTAAATTGGGAGAAGATACTATTTTTCATTGGGAATTGGCCCCAAATCAGGCAGATTGAGAGCCCTGTCTAATCATGTCTCATTACAGTGCAACTTTTGACAAGTGTCTTTTATATATATATATATATATTTTTTTCTCTCCAAATTGGATGAAGGATGGCGGACTACATTATAAATGAGACATAGGAAGCAGGCTTGCATTCATGACCCATGCATGAAGTATCACCTTACTTGTATCTATGCAATATGAACCTCCAACAAAAGAAGCATACCTTAGTTCACCAATGAATTTATAATTATCTACCTGTTACGTACGAACAACTATTCGTGGTATCAGTAACTAAATAGAAGTTCATAAACTGATGAACCCAACAATATTCCTGAACGAATAACGTAAATATCAACGACATAAAATAAACATTAATTTCCATTGTTTTCATTGTCAAGTTAAATATATCCTTGGATCGCAATACAATCACTATTACGTGTGTATTTAACAATTTTCTGTGCGTCACGTGATATAAAACCGCTCACAAATGTTCAAAAATATAAATACTTACGATAACAATCCATCTTGGTAAATCGTTCAATATTTTCCCACAAATCATGGTTTGTGTTTTGTCATTGGCGTGTAGAGACCCCGGCTAAAACCTATAGCAGACGACAACTGATGTATAGCTCGATAGGCTTCGTCACACACATCATCTTTTTTTGTAAACAAATACACATGCTACTCTTACTTCCTGAAGTAAACCTATAGCGTTATCGCCACCTGGTGGCGGCACGCCCAACTAACGAGTTATTTGCCCCTCAATAGAACGAAGATCGCCGGGATTGCTTCCCTTCCATCAAAAATTACAAACCACGGTCAGCTCTTTTCAGCAGGGACGTATATCGATGAAATTTTTACTAACATCAACCATTTCTTTACAATACCCTTTCTATCCAATAACAAGAAAACTCAAATGTCCCTGAAAAGATCAGTAAACGTCCTCTCACACAATAAGGAGACCGTATTTATATTTTGTTTTATTTCATGATACATTATTCAGTTATGTGCCATATACCTTAAATGTAGTCACAAGAACAGAAACTAACGATAGAGGTAAACAAAACAATATCAGTCATACTTACAGGCCTACATGTATATGTGTTTACGGCATTTGACATCTCTCTCTCTCTCTCTCTCTCTCTCTCTCTCTCTCTCTCTCTCTCTTACGCGCAAAAATGTGGTTTAGGCGGAATTGGCAAGTTTTACTTCGCTGTGGGGAGACCATTTTCTAGTTGGCAGTAGTCGCATTAAACTATCAGATATCATTCATCAGATATTTAACATTGTCAACACTCATTTTATAACATGAAAAGTAATTGAAATAGCCATTTATAAAGAAGAAAACATTATGGGGAGTTCGAGAATTCTCTCACTATTACATGGGGTGTATATCGGAACCCCTCTCCCAGAAATGAGAGAAAACATTATTGCGAAGAGGACTTAGAGAATCACTTTCCCGTGCCAGATCTTAATTAATTTCAAAAGTGCCATGGCTCACAATAATACATACATGAACTTCGTGAATTTGTGAGTTTTACACACTGACGTGGTCTATAGTACACTATGTTCTAATGTTCATAAAACTAAATACACATTAGCAAATTTATTAATACCATAAGTGATTAGTAAAGTTGAGACCTAATACCATACACTCATTAACTACTTGTACTATTTGCCACATCCTTACAGTTTCTTCTCAATATTTTCTACACCTTACCAGAGACGTATATATACGTCTCTGACCTTACAAAGATTACACTTCCTCTTATACAAGACTTCCCGTAAAATGTCCCATTGGCTATGTAATAGATTTACTTCAATAATCTCCACTTCTCATTAGCATTATCGACCAAACATAAAATTTGACTTTCGATATTAATACTTCAAGCCCGTTATGATATGATCCTTATAATGCCTCACATCTGCTGTAACCTCTCATAGAATTTCTCACCCACTTTACACGTAATACGTTGCTCCTAAAGTTTTACTTTATTCAGAACAGACTACCAGAAAAGTTTACTTTATTCAAAACAGACTATCAATAAAGTTTGAATTTATTATTAAAAAACCAAATACATGAACTAATTCACTCCTGATAATCAACGTTAAATCATACTGTTAGATATTTTTGTTAACTAGCATTGGCAAAATAACTAAATTTTCAGAAAACCCTTAGTTTTAGCATGTATTTATTAAGTAGGAGAACATTTTGACAAGACAAGTGTATCTAATACCATAACAAATGTTTCTTAAAGAATTTTGATTGTTGATTTTAGGATTTGACATCGTAGATATTAAAAAGTTTTCCCTCAATTTTCAAATTGATACTGCTTTAGCAGCAAGCACTAGCTTTTTTCATCCACCATTTTTATTGTATAAGAATGATCTCCTTTGTAAATGTGTAGTTGTAACTCACTTGATATGCATAATTGACCCTTAATCCAGGTTCTACCTTATTCATACGTAATATCATTCTCTATGACAACAATTTTTTCAGAGTTTATCCATCTTAAGCTTAAAACACATCACTCATGGAAATTAGCAGTAAAGTATTCTCAATATTTATATACAGTGTATTTTAAAAATATGTGTAAGCTCTTGCATTTTGAACCATGAGGAATTGTGTCACTACTGTGGTATGTTGTGCGATGATTCTATTACATATATTATTTGTCACTGCTATGGAAATATTGATATTTGAGATGGATTAAGGTGTCACTTATTTAATAAGTTGGGCATAAATTTCATGACGTGGTTGAATAATTTGTCAGACTTTGACGTAGCAAATACTTTCTTGGCGAGTACTTTTAGCTGTGAAACGTTGAAAGAAGATTTGGAATATTTCAGACTTGTAAATGTAAGATTTCTGTATCAAATATTTAAAACTTCTCAATTACACGATTATGATTTGCTTTGTACATTTATACAACTCTACTTTAATGTAGATTTTGTTTTAATTGTATTTATTCTTTTTATGTAATCTTGGAGGACATAAAAGGAATAATAATAACTTAATAATAATAATATAGAAATGAAATCATTCTTTTGATTTGATGTCAACAGGGGAATATCTAAGAATTTTACATGTTTGGAAAAATGTCAAGAAAACATGAAGCTATCTAAAAATTTAGAATTTGTGTATAATGTTGCATTTTTTATTGCTGCTAAAAATACATAGCTTCAAGCTGATATCCTTTTGTAGTTTCTGACAACATCAATATTGACAGAGGGGAGATAACTCATAACTAGCCATTACAGTTTTCTTTTCACAACTTTGAAGTGACATTGTGTATTAAAAATTAATTAATGAAACAAAGACATAAACAAATTTTAAAGTTTTGTGCAAATTTTAAACGCGTAATATTTCAAATTTTGGCAACAATTTAAGTGCATCAATAGAAAATATAGGAAAATGTTTATACAATAACTGTTAGCTTAAGAAGCACAATGGGTAGTAGTTTCATGTATGAGTTTGCTGAAGGTCAGAGGGGAAAATGCACAGGTTTAATTTGATTTCTTCTAGATTTGTATATCCTATTTAAAAAAAAAATCCTTTTTGAATTTTCAATTTGACTGGAAAATCTCTAAAGTAAAAGATATTTGTAAGATAAATGTATCTAAATCAGTTATGTAATATTTTGATGGTGACTTGTCAAACCTGTCTGTTATAAAATAAGACACCAGGGTCATTAATCATCTACCTCAGTTAATAGTTCAATTACAGCGTCATGTTGATTTTATTACAAAGAGGACAATTTTGAAAATGATTTCCATTCTCCCATTGTCATATTGTGGGTTGGAGACCCTGAACACCATGATTGGCAATAATGTCATGATATTCAATGATGAGACCAATTTTCTTGTTTGTAAATGTAAAAAGTCAATGACATAGCTGGAATTTATAGATAATACAGAGATGCTATAACATGAACAGAAATACAGAGAAAGGCAGAAGAAGATAAAGATAATATTCCTATATAAATTGTAGTAAATTCCTTCCCAAGGGGAAATGTGAAACCCTAAGGGCAAAAAATTCACATTTTAGTAAATCATCTTTAATCCTTCCATCCCTGAAATTTGAATCAATTTGATAAATTTCAGTCCCCTACTTAGAGCACTGTGGGTGGGGAGCATATAATTCCTAATTTTATGTAAAATTTTATTAAATTTGGTTCAGGACTAACCAAAAAATCCCCAGCATATCCAAAGTCCAGTTAACATTACAAAGAAACAAAATTCTGTGAAGTGTACAATTGTCTTGTAGGTATGGAAATATGATGTGTTTTAGTGTTACTTTAATTACAAGTTTTTCTTTGACTATGAATCAGTACTATGACAGTGTAGTGCTAAAACTTAACATGAAGTGGACTAATAAGTGGTCTGTTCACACAGGTGGTCTCTCAATAGAGGTGATCTCTTTACACAGGTGGCTCTTGGTCTAGGTAAAAGGGTCAAAATAAAAAAAATGAAAAATAAAAACAAACATCAAGATCATCTTGAGACTTCAACTTCACAAATTCAGTTTATATCATAATCATGGGATAATATCATCAAATTCTATATTGTATACTCGATAAAGTTTTGGTGATCAAAATCAAATAATGAAAGGCTATTTTTATAGCTTTTAGAACAATTTTAATGCAGTTGTTATCCCAATGTCCTGTCCTGATGATGGGATTCACACTTCTGATCACTTTTTGACATTTTTCATGACATCTACTGATCAGATTCCAGCATTCCATACTTATAGCAGACAATACTTGAACGAAGGTCTACATGTCCATCAAGCAGGATTGTACTTCAACCAGCTTCAGCTATTTATTATTGATGCTGAGGCTCCAATTCTGTGTGCATCTGAGATTGCAGTTGGGAAAGTTGACATCATTGCATGTCTTCAAATAGAGTAATCTAAACCAAATTGGTGAAAGGCACATTCATTTTCAGCAGAACAATGCAATCTAGGTTTGTTTTTCAGTTTGAAGTTTGCTTTTGTGCTATGAAGTAAATGTTTGATTCATTATCATGTTGAACAGATATACTTTACTGTTTTTGAAAGTATGAAATACAGTGGTTCAGGGTAGTTTTATATTGTGTAAAGTTATGTAAAAATCTTTTTAGCCTTTTCCAGTTTTTTTATACGTAGTGTACACATGTTAACTGTTAAGATGAAATAAATGTATTCAGGCCATTGCACCATAAAAAAATGAAGGATAAAATTGTTCTGTGCCGACAGGAGTGTCTCAAACAGGGGCTTTTAGCTATTGTTTGTATTGCCTCTAAATCTTAGAAAAAATTATAGCAAGTTGAACTTTAAAAATGTTGAATTTCACTGAAGTTGCAAATGGTATTGTCTACTTTTGTTTTTAAATCAATTTATTACTACTGTCTGGTTTTATTACCAGCATTTCTTGAAATCAGTTTCGATTCATTTTTACAAATATGCTTAAAAATGATTTATTGATTGACAGGGTTTAATGTCTGTGTTAATACTATTTAAAAACTAACCTTCTGCTTCTAATTTTTTCTTTGAACAACAAAATACTTCACTATCAAACAAATATTCATATTGTATTTTACTAGTATGCATTTAGTTATATTTGGTTAGTTTCCC